TTATGCATATATCTCATAAAAATAATGTCAAGAGAAAGCAAGTTACAGCAGAGTATATTTATGAGTTAGGATAGGCCAAGTCATGCTGTACTAACAAATAGCCCCTATATCGCAGAGGCTTAAAACAAAATTTCTTGCTCATGCTATATGTTCATCACTGGCCAAATGGGGCTGGGGAGTTTCCTTTTCCTGGAACTCAGGTGGCGGGGCAGCCGCTCTGCAGAACACTGATGGTTATTTGGTAGAGTGAAAAGAGTGATGAATGAGGTACTGGTTCTTAAAACTGCTGGCACGAAGTGATAGCGGTGGCTTCTGCTCTGAGCCCACAGCTTGGCTGGAGGCTACCAGGGTGAACCTCAAGGTTAATACTCAGTCAGTGGGAGTTCCCAGCATGGGAAGCACTTAATGCCAACGCCCTGGGGCCTGGCGAGCAGTTACGCACATGCCTGTGCTCTTTATCTGCCCGCTGCCTCTGGGAGTTGGAACTGATATAGCGATTGCTCTGATGATGTTATCTTACTGCTGATGGTTACTCTTTATGGAATGTGCAATAGCTTCATCAGGGTGGGTGCTGGGACTCTCTCCAGCATGGTTTGAAACAGTGAGTGGGGTTACTTGGGGTTTTTAACTTTAGGCTATGGATGCTTTTCTTTATGTGTTTGATTTGGGCCGGCCTGAAATTGGGTATTGACAAGCCCGACTTGTGCTCCCCTGAGATTTCTCCAAGTATCTCCCATGCTCTAAAACCTCCAGGTGCTCCCTATGGCTCACAGGAAAAAGCATAAGAATACCAATGATTCCCGGTGATTGGCTCCTGCTACATGCGAGGCACTTGAGAGAGAGACACACAATTCTGAATGGTGTCCCCAGGAGCTGTCTGATCTCCATCTTACAGATGTAGAAATGGAGGTTCAGAGAGGTGAAGTGACTTGCAAAGATGACAGAGAGAGGGCAAGGAAGAGGCTGGACTGGTGGTTACCAGGTCTGCCTGACTCTAGAACCCCTGCGAAGCCACCATGTTAGGCCTCCCCAGCCTTACCCTCACTTTGCCTTTTCCTAGGAGGAAACAGCTGCTCCAGCCAGGCAGGACTCCGCCCCTCGAGCAAACCTGTCTCAATGCCTAGAATCTTGCAGGACACCTTTCCCCACTGCTGGCCATGCTGAGCCCTACCCTCATCACATAGTCCTTCGGTTACTCACTTGCCTGTTGGTCCTGCCACTGAACTGCAAGAACCTCCGCTTAGTCATCTCTGCATCCATCATGCCCTGCGTGTGCTCAGTGCACATTTTCTATTCTTTCAACATGCCTTCGACAATTATTGAGCAACTACTGTCTGCTGAACACTATGCTAGGTGCAAGGATCCAGCAGAGAATGAAACAAAATCCCTGCACTCACGGAGCTTATGTTCTGACATGGGAGACAAAAATGAGCAAATAGACATATACGAGTATAACAGAATATCAGGGGATGAAAAGTGCTACGGTGCAAAATAGAGCTGGGTAAGAGTATGAATGGAGAGTGCTAGGGTGGGAGGGGGAAGCTAGTTTAGAGGAAAGGTTTTTGCGAGGAGGTAACATTTAAACAGAGATCAGAATACAGTCAGTTGTTTGACTGAAGGACTGAATAGTCAAATGAATGAATTAATGAATGAATGAATGCTTGAGTGAATCGGAAACCTAACTTGGAGAAGAAAAAGGAATTCGGATGGAGGAGTTTGAGGTAAGGGCCTTCTGATCCCTAACACAAGTGTCCTCAAACTACAGCCCACAGGCCACATGTGGCCCTCCGAGGACATTTATCCGACCTGACCAGCCGGTGTTTTTGGCGGTGCTGCCTGTCCTGCTTAGCAGCCGACTCGTCCCGGGCCCACAGTGCGCATGTGTTGAATGTGCGCCACTCTCCAACGGCCCTCCAACGGTCTGAGGGACAGTGAACTGGCTTTCTGTTTAAAAAGTTTGAGGACCCCTGACCTAACATCTTTCTTTTTCTTTCCTTAAAAAAATAACCAATTTGGCCGGGCGCGCAGTGGCTCACGCCTGTAATCCTAGCACTCTGGGAGGCCGAGGCCGGTGGATTGCTCGAGGTCAGGAGTTCGAAACCAGCCTAAGCAAGAGTGAGACCCCCGTCTCTACCATAAAAATATAGAAAGAAATTAATTGGCCAACTGATATATATAGAAAAAATTAGCCGGGCATGGTGGCACATGCCTGTAGTCCCAGCTACTTGGGAGGCTGAGGCAGGAGGATTGCTTGAGCCAAGGAGTTTGAGGTTGCTGTGAGCTAGGCTGACGCCACGGCACTCACTCTAGCCTGGGCAACAAAGCGAGACTCTGTCTCCAAAAAAAAAAAAAAAAAAAAATGACCAATTTATTCTGATGTCTTGTTTTTTCAGATAGGACATGAAGTAGAGATTGGTTATAGAGATACAGTCTAGATGTGGAAGGCAGGGAGGCCTCCCTGTCTCTGTCTACCCAGAATAGACTGGATATTACAGGATATTATGATATAATTGTTAATTTTCTTCATGTTATTGTGAGTACAGAAAAAAATGTTCTTTTCCTTAGAATTTGCTGCTGATGTATTGAGGCATGAAGTACTAGTAAGACAGCAACTTACTTTTAAATCGTTTAGCAAAAAACACTTTTTTCACATATGGATATTGATAGATAAATCTGGATAAATAACAATGATGGAATCTATGTGAAGATTGTACAGGTGTTCCTTGTAGATTCCTTGCAATGTCATTCTTTCAACTTTTCTTTTTTTATATGTATACTTTTTTTGAGGGGGGGACAGGGTCTCACTCTGTTGCTTAGGCTAGAATGCAGTGGCGTTACTGTAACCTCAAACTCCTGGGCTCAAGTGATCATCTCACCTCAGCCTCCCAAGTAGCTGGGGCTACAGGCCCACACCATCACACCTGGCTAATTTTTCCATTTTTTTTTTTTTATAGAGATGGGATGTCCGGTGTCTGTTTATATTGCCCAGGCTGGTCTTCAACTCTTCAACTCTGCCTCAAGTGACCCTCCCGCATCAGCTTCCCAAAGTGCTGGGATTATGGGCCTGAGCCACTATGCCTGGCTTCTTTCAACTTTTCTGTTTAAAAATATTTCCTAGATGGGAGGTTGGGGAGGGGGACATTGTGTGGGCCAAAAAAAAAAAAAAAAAGTATTTGCAAGTCTGATTGTTCCAGCCAATCTGGGATTTCTAGCTGAGGCATACCTGCCCTATCTCACCAAACCCACATCCCATCCCTGTGGGGTGGGCAGCACTGGGCCATTGAAACAGAATCTCAGAGAGAAGTGACTTGCCCAAGGTCACATGGCTAGGTGAGGCCAAGGCAAGATTTGAACCCACATCTATCTGTGCCAGAATTCTCCGCTTTCCTTTTTTGTTGTGGAAGTCTCTTCTCTCCTGTCCCACCTCCCAGGATGTTGGATTAGGTGAGAGCTACGTGCCTTTACTATGTGCCAGGCTTTGCTTGTATTACTCGAATCTTCACAACTATCTGATGAGGTTGTTACCAATAACATCCCCCATTTTACCAAGGCACAGAGAGTTTAAGTAACTTGCTTAAGGTTATACAGCTAAGAATGGAAGAGCTGGGCATCAGAAAACCTGAGCAGTCTGGCTCTAGAGCCTTCACTTAAAGGGCCAAAGAAACACCTTAAAAAGTATAAATTACTTTGGGGATAGAAATCAGGATTATTGTTGATTGTCGAAGAATCCCTGCAAAGTTCTCTCCCCTCCTCACTGCTTCTGGCACTCCAAGACAGTGCCCTAGGTTCAGATGTGTCTACATGGTCACCTGTCTCCCTAGTTCAGCTGGCAGCTCCTTGAAGGTAGTGCTGGTCCTCACCTTGAGTTTCTAGTGACTGTTAACTGCATCCTGAGGTCCTCTGGACTGAAGCTGACCTTAAAGCATTGTTTTGGATATGGTCCCACACCAAGGTGACAGGGGTAGGATACCAATTTGCCTGCAGGATGAGAATTACGGGCCACATGGAATTCAGAGAGAGAGAGAGAGAGAGAGAGGAGATGGCTTCATGTTGACAACTGTTACCATTACGCTACTTCTGATTTTATGGCATGTGGACCCTACAAGCTCATCTTTATTCTTCTCCTTACTTCACCAGTTTTTACTCACCACGATGGCCTTGGATTTAGCCTGGTGACAGATCTAGACCTTTTCCTACCTCAGGGTGTTTGCAGTGCTGTTCCCCCCTTGGTCTGAATGCTTTTTCCCCAGCTTATTCTACAGCTAGCTCTCTGTCATCATTTTATGTCTCAGCTCATGTCACCTGCTCAGGGAGGCCTTCCTTGACCACTCTAGCCTGCCTGCTGTACGTTCTCCTGTTTTATTGTGTTCCTACCTGTTATCAGTACCTGATACCACTAACTGATTTGTTTCTTTCTCCTCCCACATGAACATAACTTCCACAAAGACAGAGATTTAACTGTTTTGTTCTTTGTATCATCCCCCAGAGCCAAGAACTGTGTCCAGCATTCAATAAAATGGTGAATTCAAAGAATGAATGAATGAATGAATGAATGAGGGTGTATACCGGGCCGAACCCCTAGCCTTACAATCCCCGCTCCTCTGCCGCAGTGGGCAATGAGATGGGGCAGACTTTGTAGATGACCCCTTGGTCCCCGACAGGGGGGCGTCCGAGCACAGAGCACTTGAGAGACGCTCCCCCAAAGCCTGGGCGGTGGCCGCGCCGGGAGAGGGGCTGTCGCTATTTGGCGACGTTCCATGCGGGCCGCCACGCCGCCGCGGGGGCCCGGCAGAAGTGGGCGGCGAGCGCGCGCGCGGGTCTTTTGCGACGGTGCCCGGCGGCGCTGGCCCCGCCCCCACGCGCCGGCCCGCCCCGCCCCGCCGCAGCGCTAGCTCCGGGCCGCGCCGGCCCCCGCCCGCTTCATGTGGCCGGGCCCGGGCGGCCGGCGGCTGGAGCGGCAGGGCGGCGGCTGCGCGTGGCGGCCCGCGAGGCCCGGGAGGCGGTGGCCGAGGCCCAGGCGGCGGCCCAGGAGGCTGCGGACGGGGAGCGGCGGGAGCAGGCCCGGCCCGGCCCTCGAGCGGCCGCCCGGCTGCAGCATGCGCGCCCGCCGGGGGCTGCTGCGGCTGCCGCGCCGCTCGCTGATCGCCGCGCTCTTCTTCTTCTCGCTCTCGTCCTCGCTGCTCTACTTCGTCTATGTGGCGCCCGGCATAGGTAGGAAGGGGCCTGGGACCCCGCGGCTGTGCGCCCGCCTCGAGGGGACTCGGGAACCCCCGCCCCTCCCTGGGAGGCCCGGCGCTCGGGAGACCCCTGCGGGCCGGGCGGCGACCCCGAGCCCGGCCCGCGGAAGACTGCGGGATGCCTGGCCCTTGGGGCCCGCGCCCGGTCTCTGGCGGTCGCCAGGACTTTCTCGTCTCTGCACCCGCCGATCCCAGACCCCCTCCCCGCCGGCTCCCGCCGCCCCCTTCCCCCGGCCCGGCCGCCCCTCCCGAGCCGCCGGCGCCTCACGCCCCCCTTCGCGCCGGTCCCTCCTTCCCGCTCTTGCCTCTTTGGAGCCCTCACTTCCGGCTCCTCGCCTCCAGAGCTCCCGCTTCCCCTGCCCGGGGTCTCCCGGAGCCCCCGTTCCCGGCATCCCCCGCACCCCGAAGCCCCGCGGCCCGCGCGCTCCGCGCCGGCCCTGCGCCCGGGTCTGGGGCGCCGGCCTTCCCGTTTCCATCCATCCTTCCCCGCTCCCCAGTCCTCCGCCGTTCCCTGCTCCGTTAGCCCTGCTCTTTCTTCCCGCCGCGTCCCCGAGTCACATCCTCCGCCAGGTTCTCCTCCCCAGCTCGCGCGCTGCTCTCGAGTGGCCGGGTCCCCCGCGTCCCCGGGGGCACCCCTTCCCCTGTAGCGGAGGTCTTGCCCCCGTTCACTCTCCTCCTAACCCCCAGCGCCCCGGGGCCCTCCTCGTCTGCCCCCACCCCGTGTGCCCCCAAGGGCAGCCCTTGTCACCTCCGCCCCAGCCCCTCCTGATGGAAGACCTGGGGGAAGGGGGACCGTCTGCGCCCTCCCGTTCTCCACGGGGCCGCCTCCTGGCCTCCGGGGTAGAAGGCGCCTGCCCTGGGGACGGGGGGAAGTTTAAATTGACCCTAGAGGAGGGGATGTGACTAGGGCTTTTGGGGACCTGGTGCCAGGTGGGACGGGGGAAGCATGGAGAAAGGAGGGAACGGGTACTCTTTCTTCTCAAAGGCTTGCCCCTTAAAGGGAAGGCAGCCTCCGCAGAAACTGAATCCTCCCCAAGCATAGACTTTGCAAGACCACAGACCAGACAGGACGTGAAGAAATCGGAGGGAAAGACGGCATGTGGGTTAAGAGCAGAGGACATCGCGGTCAGACTTGGATTCTAATCTCTGTCCTGTGTGACCTTGGGCAGGTTACTAAGCCTCAGCTTTTCTCGTCTGTAAAATGGGGATACTAATCCCAGTCTCATAAGGTTTTAAGGATGGAAGTAGATAAATGCCTTTTAAAGCACTTTTCACTGTACCTGATGCATGGACGCTTTTACAATTAAGTAAATAAAAGCAGCTATTATGTGTAACTTTTTGGGGGGAAAAAGGGAGTAGGTGGAATTTAAGGAATGTGTTTGCCTGATTTGGCATTACCATGAGGTTCTAGAGAAACCTTAGTTTATTGTGAAAGATGATCAAGAGATGCTGTTGGAGGTGGGGCAGGGAGAGTAAATTCAGCTATAAAAATTCTGGATTATTTGGATGTTAGGGAAGGTTTGATGATTAGCTGTAGGGAGCTGCGTTTTAGGATCGTAGTAATAACTAGTGCCTGTTCTCTGTTGACCTGTCAACACTGTACTAGCTGAATAGAGAAATTTCCAGATAGAGCAGAAGATTCTCCCCTGATTATTTTCTTTAAGCATAATTTACTTGATAGTTGATACTGATATTTTGTACTGTCAACTAGATCTGGAAAGATAGAACAGGGAACATCAGATGGCCCTAAGTTTACAAGTGTCTTAGGGAAAAGCATCCCTCTAGGAAGGTACAATTTGTGTCCTGGTGGATCTGATGAGTAAATTATCAGAGGATAGGAATTCTGACAGAACAAGGACAGATAACTAATTAATGGAACTAATTGAGAAAAGAATTCATTAGCATATTGGATATTAGACTCTAATAAAAATGGGTATGAAATGATGGATTTGGACCCACAGGCAGTCTTAAACGCATAATCTTTTTTTTCTTCTTCGAAAGTGACAGGTAGTTCTGATCTAAGTTCATAAATCAGCTTTTCTTTTTTTTTTTTGAGACAGAGTCTCACTTTGTTGTCCAGGCTAGAGTGAGTGCCGTGGCGTCAGCCTAGCTCAACCAACCTCCCAAACCTCCTGGGCTCAAGCGATCTCCTCCCTGCCCAGCCTCCCGAGTAAGCTGGGAACTACGAGCATGCCGCCACCCATGGCCCGGCTAATTTTATATATAATATCAGTTGGACCAATTAATTTCTTTCTATTTATGGTAGAAGACGGGGTCTCGCCTCTGCTCAGGGCCCTGGTTTGAAGCTCCTGACCTTGAGCAATCGCCCCGCCTCGCCTCCCCGAAGAGCTAGGATACATTGGCGGAGCCACCCAGCGCGTCCGGCCCCCTAAAAATAAAATCAAGCTTTCCAAATCGAAAAATATATCCAACCGGGAATGGTAAGTCACCCCTTTGATAGAAAAGTTAGAGCCAGGTTCTCCAACAGAAATGGAACCTGTCAAACTTAATTAAGATTCCGCAAACACTACATTTTTAGGTCATTGAACCGCTGTGTCAAGTGATAATGGGCTACTATCATGGCTAAATCACCCTCCCTGTCACTGTAACTGAAAAGAATGCAAAGGCAGCGTAAAGTCTGTTTGGTACATTGTTACGTACGCATGTCCCTAAATGTAAATCTCCTAAAGATGCAGTTCACTTGGAAATCAAATTCCTATTCATGGGAAAGGGGAACGAGTAAAAAAGGATGTGGAGTAATTTAGGGTTCAGAAACCCAGCAAGCCTACCATAAGTTGTAAGGCA